GGTTTTGTGTCATGATTGGAGAAGCAGCTTGATCTACCCCATGTTGTAAAAATAGCCACCCTTGTTTTCTTATAGTGCTTTTATGGGTTCTTTTTTCTATGATAATCCTTGAGTCATCTGAATTTATCTTGATGTCAGGAGTGAGGTAGAGGATCCTGATTTATCATTGTTCAAATGGCTAGTTGATTTTTCCAACACCACGTGTCGAGTATCCCTCACTGATTTGAAATGTCACCTTGTTCCTTGACTTAATTCCCATGTATTCTTCTATTTCCTTTCTGCTGGCTCATCTGTCTTGTCCTGTATCAAGGGCCACATTGAGAGAGACAAAGAGACAGAAATAGTAGATGCGATATGGTTGACCCATGAACAACACAGGGGTTGGGGGCGCAACCCCTTGAGCAGTTGAAATATCCATGTATGGAGGGCACCTAGGTGGCCCAGTGGTTGAGCATCTGCCTTTGGGACAGGGTCCTGGGATCGAGTCCCGCATTGGGCTCCTGGCAGGGAGACTGCTTCTCCCTCTGCCTGTGTCTCTGCCTGTCTCTGTGTGTCTCTCATGAATAAATAAATAAAATCTTTTAAAAAAATTCATGTATAGCTTTTGACTTCCCCCAGATTTGAGTACTGATAGCCTACTAGCAACTGGAAGCCTTCCTGATAACAGCAAGTGGGTTAACATGTGCTCTGTATGTTGTATGTATTCTACGCTGCATTCTTAACACGAAGTAGGCTAGAGAGAAGGAAATGTTATTAAGAAGATCATAAGCAAGAGAAAATATATTTACAGGACCATACTGTATTTATTGGGGGAAAATCTACGTATAAGAGGACCCACAGGATTCAAGCCGGTGCTGTTCAAGGGCCACAGGTGTAGATGCTGTTTAATTCTACGTGTCACCTTGACTGGGCCATGGGGTGCCCGGATTAAGCCTTGTTCCTGAGTGTGTCTGTGAGGGTGTTTCTGGATGACATCAACATTTGAATCAGTGGACTCAGTCAGCAGATGGCCCTCCCCGACGTGGGTGGGCATCTTCCAATCTGGTGAGGACCCGAATAGAACAAAAGCCACAGAAAGGTGGATTTAGCCCCCTTTTTTTTCCCTGCCCCACTGTTTGAGCTGAGACGTCTCGTCTCCTCTTCTTCTGACTTTAGACTCAGAGTGAACCGCAGTACTGGCTGTCCTGGGTCTCTAGCTTGCAGATGGCAGATTGTGGGACTGCTCAGCCTCCAGAATCGTGTGACCTGATTCCTTGTAATAACTCTCTTTCTCTCTCTCTCTCTCTCTCTCTCTCTCTCTCTCTCTCTCTCTCTCTCTGTGTGTGTGTGTGTATATATATATCCCTATCTATCTATATCCATGTATCTCTATATATAGATATATAGAGATATTATCTCCATCCTATTGGTTCTGTTTCTTTGGAGAACCCTGACTAACACGCACACAGGCACACGGACACACACACACCACACGTATAGCTCCCACTGGTCCTGTTCTGTGCTGTAACCCTGATGGATCTACCCCCTTGACACACCCTGTATTTATTGGGGGAAAAATAAATCACTGCATGAGGCTGGGGACCATGTCAGTCTACCTCCCTGTGCCCAGCACAAGCCTGCTTCGTGAGTCGCTGAATGGCCACAGGCTGGAGAAGCCACGAACACCTTCAGAACCCCAAGTCCACTGGCAGATTCCTCTGACATCCAAGGCTGAGTGGCAAATGAGAGATAGTACCTTATTGATGGACGTTGGTCTTGAGACCTCCAGGGGCCTCACCCTGTTCTAGGGAAGGAGGGAGGCCCTGGGGTCTCACGAAGCTACCAGGGGACTTTTAGGACTTTTATGGGGGTTGGCCTCAGGGTTGGGAGGGGGTGATGGGATAGGGCGCAGAGGGAGGGATGGTCGTCCCTTCTGTGCTGCTGTGGGAAGGATGTACACAGGCCAGTGGTCTGTGAGGGACTCCGACCAAGATTGTTGTTGTCTGAAGCAGGATGAGGGAGAGAACTGTCTTATTGGGAGGCATCCAGAGGACTCTAAACTGTCTTGGGAGGCATCCAGAGGACTCTAAACTATTTCCCTCTTTTTTCAAGGGGCCTGGGGGGTTTCAGCCCAATGGGGGACCCAGTCCAATAGCATTCTCCTGGCGATTGAAACTTAGGGCCTGTAAATAATAAAAGCTTATATGATCTTTATAATGAAAAAAAAAAAAAGAAACTTAGGGCCTCAACTCCACCAGGCCATCAAGATGCTGGGATGCTGGGATGCTGGGATGCTGGGACGCAGGCTCAAAACTCATGTGTCTGCCCAGGAGAAGGGCAGGAAAGGGGGAAGAAGTCCTACTCGAGTGAGAGGAAGTCATGAAGGATCAGTGTCTCCTCACAGAGGGGCACGACCGAACAGACGTCAGAGCAGGAGAGGCCTAGGCTGCAGGCCAGGGGGAGGAAGAATCCAGGGGCCTGGGCCTCCCAGAATCCAAGGGGCAGTGCTTTTCTGGAAGGAAGGAGAGGCCAGTGCTGTTGAGGGGCAAATCCATGAGGACTGAAAGAACAAAAGCACAGGAAAAAAAAGAACAAAAGCCACCATTGCACTCATGGCCAGGAGGACGTGGTGTGCCAAGGGGAAGGAGCGGGTGCTGGGGCTGGGTGGCTCTGGGCTGAGGAGTGGGAGGCAGCTCGCTGGCTGTGATATTTGGGCTGGGGACTGGCTGAGGACATGGCTGGACATGGCAGGCCCCGGGAAGGTGCTGAAGGCACACAAGAGAGGGCAGGTGAGCCGTGACGGATGGTGGGAACTGTCACTTCCAGGGAGAAGCCTGGGACAGCCACGCTGGGGGAACAGGGGAAGGACCTCTGGGTGCCCTGAGACCTTGCTGGGGTCAGGTGGCAGGAGGTGTTCAGGAGCCGTCCATACTGCTGCTCCTGCTGGTTCAGCCTCCACCTGGCGGCTGGCTAGGGTGGGCAGTGAGCCCTCTGGGGGCAAGGTGGAGCCAGTCGGGGGCCAGCAGAGCCGCGACAGCTGTGGCCCCCAGGGCCCTCTGGAAGGCTGAGGAGGCCTGACTGGGAGGGCTGGGTTGGGGGATCTCCAGGGGCTCAGCCCCCTAACTGGCTGGCTGTGAGCAAGTCACCGGGCAGGTGGGTCCAACAGAATCGGGAAGGGCACCGGGCCCAACCCCTGAAGGCCCCGCACCCATTGGAGGAGGGGACAGGAGAGAGGGGTCCCTGGGCCCCCGCATGGCCCTCAGGTGAAGCCGGGGCCTGCCTGAGCCTGGCAGCTGAGGTAACACCGGGAGCCCCAGTGAGGCTCCCCAATCCTGGGGAGGTGCCGCCTCGTGGAGCAGGGGAAACAGGGGCAAAGGCCGTGGCAGGAGCTGAGGGCCGCGTGTGGGCCGCGCCCGTTCCCGTCCCGGGGCGACAACGCTCCGTGAGAAGCAGGACGGCGCTGTGGGAGCCAAGGGCAGGGCTTCCAGCAACCGCGGCGCGCAGCGCCCGCCCTCCAGCCCACTCGCTGCCCAGGCCGCTGCCATCCCGTCACAGCCCTTGGGAACGGTGGCAGGCGGCACCGTCCTGGGGCAGGGTCGGCCCCGCTGGGCAGGACGCGATGCCTAGTGTGGCGCCTCCGGCGGCCCCCGAAGGATGGCGTTGCGGCGGAACGTCCAGTGCCCCCAGGAGGAGGGCGCGGGCTCCCCCAGCCAGTTCGGGGATCACTGTGCACCACAAAGGATCCCAAGCAGCGCTTCTGGCGCGCACGGCAGGGCCCTCCCCCGTAGCGCCCTTGCTGCCTTTGAGGACGTGCCACCCGCACCCCGGCTACCGCAAGGGACCCCTTCTGAATGAGCCTCCCGTGAAGCTCCGGGGAAGCCACGCTGTTGCTGTGAGGGGGCGGCCCGAGGGTGCAGTCACACGAGCCCCCGTTGGTCGAAAGCGCAATCACCCGGCGGGGACGTGAGGGCCCCGGGCTGGGGCCGCAGGTGGGGACTGAAGGGGCCGCGCCGAGACTCCAGGAGGCGGGGCTCCGGAAGGGGCGGGGCCGTCGGGGGGCGGGGCACCCGCGGCGGCCACGCCCCTCACACTGCGGTCCTGGACCTGAAGCGGAGCTCCGCGCCCCTGGCGCCCCAGGCCCACGGCGCCCCTCCCGCTCCGCCCTCAGGACGAATCGAGTTGGGTAAAGCCTGGGCTTTGGCAGAGGAGGTGGAGGGGAGGCGGCTAGTCCCTCCTCTCCCGGACCGCCGTGGCGAATCGACAGGACTTGAGTCTCCCCTGCAGCTGACGTGCCGCCTGCCCCAGCGCCCCCCACCCCGCCCCCCGCCCCGTATGGGTGTCCCTTACATGGGAGTGATAGGGATCTTTCATTGGGTCTGTCACTCGGTCAGTGGAAAGAGGGTGGGGCGCAGAGAGTCTGCATTGGTGGTACAACTCGCCCCCTGCCCCCTGCCCCCTGCCACCAGTGCAGTGACTTCAGCAGCCTCTGGTTCCTTCTCTGTAAAATGAAGGGACAGGGTTAAAAACAAAATGACGTGCTTCCCTGCTGTGCTGCGAGCCCAGGGCAGTTCACACCTCACACACTTCTAACCCCTTGGCCCTCCGTGAGTCATCTTCCCGATGCACAGGACACCAGGTGGCCTCTTGAAAGAACCAGAGACACCAACCAGTACACTTAGCTGACACGGGTTCGTAAGCAACGAATGCCCCCCTGATAAATGAAAACATAGAGGCACTTTTCTCCTGGCCGTTTATTACAGTACAAAGAAAAAACGCGCTGGCTTGAAACAGACGCCAGATTTCAAATTTAGAGGCGAAATAGGAGGTGGCAATTAAAACGTGATTACACAAGTCTGGGCACTGAGGAAAAGTTTACAGGACAGTGGGTGTGGGTTTTCTATAACAGACACTTAAATATACATGACAATAATTGCAGATAAAAACCATCAAAGACAAAGCCCAAGTCAACTATTAATGTTTACAGACTCCCCCCCACCCACCCCCCAACCACAGACCTTACATGAAAACAAATACTGAGAGGCTTTGAACCAGGAGCATCTCACCTCCGCCCTGCAAAGTGCCACTGCAGAAGTGCGAGCCTGGGGGTTCTCTGTCTGAACGATAAGGAGGACACTCTGGATCCTCAAGGTGGACAGCGGCCCGGCCCGTGTTCAGCTCACAGGCCCTCTCTCCACGCCTCCCAAATCTGCAGAACTCTTAGGCTCGGGGCAAATTTCCTCCGAGGGGCACTTGTAAAGCTTGCCCTAATATGCGCATCAGTTAAGAGCCAGCGGAGACTTGACGGGCTTGCAAAAGAGTTTAAGAATCACACAAGACGATAGAATTTTTAGAGAAAATAGCAATAATTGGCCAAGGGTTTTCTATTTGGCGTTTGTCACTTCGGACACCGCCTCTTGATCACATCCACTTCTCACTGCATCAAAACCACAAGCGGACTCGACCACCTGGCTTCGAAGGTAGCGCTGAGCTTAACAAGGGAGCTGGACCAGAGAACACAGCCTGCATTATTTGCGACAATGTATAATAAACACAAACAATGCATAATAAACACAACTCTACTGAAACGAAAGCCGTCACTTTATTTACAAAGTCACAAAATGAAGTATAAATACTTCTGTCATTAACGTTTAGGAAAACCATTTACAAAATTTTCAAATATGTACAGGTAGCTTGAAAAATCACCAGCTTTCCATTTTGTCACAGGTAGAGAGAGGGATGAGCACAGGCGGATGCCACGCGCACTGCGATGAGGAAAGGGCGTGTGGCCGGTTGTGAATTTGCGGAGGCTCCGCGCCCGGCCGAAGGCGGCGTGGACGCGGGAGGTTCTGCGGGCACTTAAAATCCCCCGGGGCTCCGGGCGGCGGCCTCGGCGGCGCCGGCCTCAGTGGCAGCGGCGTGCTCTTCCAGAATGTCATCGATCAGCCTCAGGTTGCACACCCAGCCTTCCTCTAGGCTCACGCTGGGGCCTTTCAAGAGATCTTCGATGAAATCCGCCTCACTGCAGTCCGGGGGTGAGATCAGGCCATCGAAGGGGTGCTGGGGCGGGGGCAAAAAGCCGTAGGGTGGCAGCTCGGGAGGGGCGCCCATTCTGCCAAGGGGACCTGGGGACTGGCTGGCGGCCATGGCAGAGGCGGCAGCGGCGGCGGCGGTGGCGGCGGCGGCCACATAGCTGGGCGGCTCGATGCCCTGTATGGGACTCAGGGGAGCAAAGCTGGCCAGGCCCTGCTGGGGGGACTTGCTGGCACTGAGCACAGGCACAGGACCCCGCACAGGGCTCTGGCGGGGGCTCTGGTTGCCCAGCAGGCTGAAGCAGGGGTTGAGCAGAGCAGCGTTCACCTTCTGGCCAGGCCTGCCTCCTGGGGCCACCTGATTGGGGGGCCCACCTGCCTGCGATGGAAATGCGGGGGCTACCAGGGGGACTCTAGTGGGTGCCTGGGCCAAGACAGAGTTGCTCTCAAAGTGCTGCGAGTCGCTATCATCTACATGGCCCAGGGGAGGCCCCCTGGCGACCGCCACCACCCACGCCGCACTGTTAAGCGCTGCGGGCATTCTTGGCACACGGGGCTCTCTGAGCTGGTGGGGACTCGGGGACTGGCTGCCCGGGGGTCTGGGGCAGAACCCAGGCAGGGGCGCTTCTGAGGGGGAGGCCTTGGGAATCTGCAGCCGGCGGCAGCTGGGGCCGAGGCCGCCCAGGGGGTTCTGGCCTGCGTGTGAGGGTATGGGAAATGGGGGGCTGCAGTGGAAAATTTCTTGCTGCTTGCCCGGAGTCGGTGAGGCCAGGCCCCTGCCCTCATGGCTCTGGTGCCTAGTGGGTGGGATCATTGTTGGACTCAGGTTTTTCAGAAGGAGCCCACCTCTGGGTGGCATCATGGGCTGACTGGATGGGGGGCTTGCCTTGGTCTGGCTACACTTGGAGGTGACTTGTTCTTGGACGGCTACAGAAAGAAAGAATTGGGGGGGGTCAGTGCCACAGTCACCCTCAACGTGGGCCACAGCTGCTGGCAGGGAGCTCCTGGCTCCACTCCAGCCTCCTGCCTTCTGCCCTTGGCTCCTCGACTCTTCGAAACTGCCCTTCTCCCCCCGCCCCCTCCGCCACTGAGACTGTGGTTCTTCTGGGCAGCCCTCCCAGACTCCCCGGGTCTGCGCCCCAGCTCGCCCCCGAAACACACGCACCAAGAGAAGATCACACTGTCCTGAAACTGCCAGCTTATTGGTCTGAGTTTTCAGGTAGATGGTAAGCTCTGTAAGGCCAGGGTCTGGGTCCGTTTTTATATCTGGTACTCTGTCCGCAGGCCTGGCACTGCACACGCCTTGACGGATGTCCACTCCTTGCCGCTGGCCTTCCTGGAACTTGTCTATCCTGTTACTGCAGCCAAAGCAGGCCCTATGTGCCACTCCAGCTCGGGCAGGTGGGACATTCAGCTGGCGTCAGGCCCAAAGGAGCAGGGGTTTTTGCAGGAGAATGGAGGTGGCACTGGGCTAAAATGAAGATGCTGAGAGCTCGCTGGAGGGCAAGCAGCCTCCCCAGAGCCCTGCGCTAGAGCACTCTTGGCCTGGCCCAGTGTCACTCCACTGGCTGGGAGGGACTGCTTAACACAACTGTCCCTGGCTAGTCTGGAAGCTCCACGAAGTGGGGGCTGCGCCTGACATTTTTGTTGACTGCTCTATCCCCGGCCCATCTGTGTTTACTACATTCAGAGCTGCCTCGGTGGAGGGTGGCATAGGGACCCCTGCTACCTGGGGAGGCTCTGGGGGCCCCTGCCGCAGACTCTTGGAGGAAGAGGGTCCCCAACCCCTGTTCCACTACCCACACCTGAGAGACGGCTCGGGCACTTTTCGAACGGAAGGTCAGTCGGCGGCGGCTGGGGAGGTGGGGCGGACCCGCTGAGAACCGTGAAGGTGTGTGGGTAGCAGTTTGAGGGTAACTGCTTTGAGGGGCTGGACTCAGTTCAATCTCTCGAATCAAGCAGTGATTTTAGAGTCGTTAAAAGCCGGCTTTCAGTTGGCATCCGACCGAAGCTTTCAGTGTGCTGTTGAACTGAGCCGACCGCCCCCCGACAGCCCCTGGCCTGCCCCTTTAAAAGCAATGACCTTAACAGCTTACCTTGAAATTGACTCATCTGTTGGGCAATATACGCTCTCCGCTGTTCAGGGGTCATTGCCATAAGACCTGATCTCTGCTTCTCTTGCTAAACGGAAGATGAGAAAGACGTGTTAGATAGTGGCTACCAAGAAAGTCGGCCTTGGGATTGCCGCGTGGGGGCCCAGGACTTGGCTTTGGTGTAGCAGAAAGCATGAGTGAACACATCAACACACACTTGCATGCATGCCCCGCCCTCCCGAGCAAGATTCCACAGGTATAAACAAAAGTAAGATTCTGCACCTGGGTTAAAAAATCAACTGCGACAGCATAGGATGGGGCAGGAGAGACAGAGCTTAACAGCAAGAGCACACAGAGAAAAGGTTCAGGCATTTTGGATGTCCTTCTGCTCAGGATGGGTCAGCAGTGAGATGTGTCACCAAAAGAGCAAATGTAACATTAGGCTGCATTAATAGAAGCAGAGTATGTAGAAGGAGGGAGGTGACAGTCCTGCACTCCTCTGCCTTGGCCAGACCATGTCTACAGTGCTGGCCAGAGTCCGGGCACGCCAGTCTCAGGGAGACCCAGAGGAACTGGCTGCATTCCGAGGACACTAAGTGAGAGGGATAGGGCTCGGCCCCGGAACGGCCCAGACCACGAATGGCTGAGCAAACCAGGAATGCTGTGGCTGGGGCAGTGCAGACCCTGGGCTACGTGGTGGTGGGAGCCCAGCCTCTGTGGGGCTGTCACAGGGAAAGGGCCCAGGCTTGTTCTGGGTGGTCCTGGCATGAACGGCAGGACGATCACACGGTCAGATAAACGCATTGTCTGCCCCCCAGAGTAGCCACCCACTGCCAACTTCCCTCCATTCTCCTGCCTGCCTGTCGCAGGGGCAATCAGGACGAGCTTCCTGTCTCCATCACGGGGGCAGCCAGTGGGCTGGGGGAGGAGCCAGCACGGAGTCCAGCAGTGGCTGGAGGACACAGCAGGCAGAGGCCCAGGGGAGGGCCCGGAGGCTCCGCTGGCCCCGAGACCCTCAGCCAGGAGGGGACGGCCTCAGGCTGTGACCAGGACCCCGGTCTCACTCCCGCTGCGGTGCTCACCCACTGCCATCTCTGTCCCCTTCTCGAGAAGCCCGCTGCATAGTGTGCTGACAACCAAGGCAGCTCCCTATGGGAGGACCCCTCATCCCTTAGGCCCCTTGTTGAGCTGCATTCCCCCCACCGCCCCATGGGCCCCAGATGCTGGAGGACCTGATCTGTAACATGGGCTGCCTGGCAGGGCCTGCTTTTCTGCCCTCAGTGGGGCTGGGGTGGGCCGGGCAGGTGGAGGACTGGCACCTGGGACAGTGCTGGGCTCCCAGGCCTGGTGGCAGTTCCCGGCCTCTATTCCTGCCAAAGGCAGAGGACAGACTACATCAGAAGCCATTGCACCGTCCCGTCCTTAGCCTGTTTCCTGTCTGGGCCCTTGCTCCCCTGCGCTGGGACCGGCCACACCTGGGGTGGTGGGGAGCTGTCCTCTTCCTGCTGGAGCTTGGGGACCCAGGGCCAGCCCAGGCATGCTCACTGTACTGAACTGCCCGCACCCTGTCCTTTCCCATCATCTTCGCGATCGGCACAGCTATGTCATGCCAGTTAGGGATCTGGCCACTGAGGACCGTGGGCGGGGGGGGGGGGCGGTTACACGACCACTTCAGACAGGAAATGGGACACAGAAGCTAGGCTCTGCCTGTGACAGTGGGGACAAGCGGGCTTTCACTCTGGGGCAGCCCTTTGACTTCTCTTCTGCCCTTTGGCCCTTATACCAGCCCCTGGGGATCGGGGCAGAAGCTCAAGGGCCCTGCTTACTGCTGTGACAGCTGAGGCTCAGAGAGGTTGAATGACATGCTGGAAGTGACCCAGCTAGGAAGTACAACGTCTCCCAACTGCAGACTCAGGGCCCCGGCCTCTCTAGCCTCTTCAGCCCCCTGCTCCTGGGGACCAGCTGCTTCTGGGGACGGGCTCCTGTGGCTGGCTGGGCCAACAGCAACAATGCAGTCGTGCAAGGGCCGGGGGTCAGGGTCAGGGGTCAAGTGGAGGCTACAGGGCACAACCGGAGAAAAAGCAGGGCAGGGCGGAGGAGTCCAAAGGGGAGGCAGTAGGGAGGAGAGACCCCGCAAGGGCACGGGAAATCAAAGGGAAGGCTGGGCTGGGGCAGGGGTCAAAGGGTGGAGGAACTGGGTGGTGCTGGCCAGATGAAAGAGAGCGCTTCTCAAACAGGGCAGAGTTACGGGGACCAGGGGCTGTTGGCCGGTGTTCATCCAAGGAAGCACAGAATCCGGAGCTTCCCGAGTTGAAGGGAAACGCTGGTCAGCGGGATGGCCGCAGCCACTCCCAAGTTCAGACAGCACGTTGCCACCCGGGCCGCGCTGGGCCTCCGGCATCCTGGGCCACGGCCACCAGGCAGGAGCCCCTTCACTGGGCCAGGGCGCCCAGAGGCTCTGCAGCCCTCTCTGCTCCGCGTCCTCAGCCCTGGCAGAGGAGGCCTCCCCAGGAGGCTGCTTCCTTTGTTTTGCAGACGGAGGCCCCCATCCTTTGTTCTGAATCAATGTGCTCCAAAGATAAGCCCCAAGAAAACAGTTGTTGCCTTTTGACACTGACAATTAGAATCGCTGGAAAATGGAGCAAACAGGAAATGACAAATGTTTTCGGTGACCAGGAGGAAGTGATGGCCGAAGTCGCTGCTTCGCGATGGGCGCTTGTGAAGGATGGCCCAGGCAACCTGTGGCTTTTCAGAAGCATGGTCAGGGAGCAGGGCGTCAAATGACTCATTTCTCTAGGGCTGCGGTTGTCATGGCGCTCGGTCCCATTGCGCCGGGTGACATCAACGGCGCAGCGTCACCTGAGTGTTGTGTGAGCCTGGGGGGGCTGCTCCCATGCTGGTCACTGCTGCAGGGCTGGGGCCCCGCTTCTTCCCTGTCACCCCCTCCTCCCAGTCCTTGCAGGGCCAAGCTGCCACATTCACAGACAGGCCTCAGGCAGGACAGCGACCCTGGATGTTCTGGGGCTGCCTTTCTAGAAGCTTCATGCTGATGCCCGGGCAGCTGCAAAGCCCTCGCCCAACTCTGGGGGCTCGTGGAAGGGCTAGTGCTTCATCTGGGTGTGCTAGGCCTGCCCACCGCCCCCCACTGTCCCCTGACACAGCTGAGCCTTACATGGTAACCCCCCACCCCCCCACCAGCAGGCCAGGGCCGATGCTGTGCCGGCTGCACCCTCAGCCACCACAGGCCAGTGCCCCCTGTAAGCCCCGGTGGATCCCCTGGATGCTTCCTCTCCACTGCAGGGGGAGAAGCGACTCCTTACAGATTCAACCACTAAATCAAGCAGAGGGGCTCTAATTAGATGGGAGGTGGGAGATGGGCACAGGGGCGGATGACTGGCAGGACTCACACACAGAAGCCTACAAAGGGTTCCTGGATTTCTGCCAGATTCAGACTGAAGTTATTTCCCCCATGACCCTCAGGAGGAGAGCATTCTGACTCAGAAGGGGATTCCAAAGGAACAGCTCCTGGGGATGGCAGGGAATGGATCCAAAGCCTTGTTTCATACAGCACAAGGAGGGTGGGAAGGAGTGGGGGGGAGGGGAGGGGGAGGGGGAGCTTGTTTTCTACCTTTATGTAACTAGGGTAACCCGGCCTCCTTTCCAAGCCCACCTGCCCCCACTCGAGTGTCCCACTCGAGTGGCGACAGCCTGCCATCCAGAAGAAGGCACTCAGCCACTTTAAAGGTTCAAAGGTTAATGAGCTCTACTGTGTATGCTCCTTCCCTTATCACTCTACTCCAAGAAGCACCTTCTTCTGTAGTTTCTGGAAGCTCGATTCACCCACCTTTCTGACTTTAGCCTTTGAAATGACAGCGTTCTCACCAGAGACCGTGAAATCAAGATCGGAATTCTGGGGGCTCTCACATCCATATGGATGGGGACACCTGAGGCCCAGGGGCTCTGGCTGGCCGGTAGCCTAAGGATGAAGGCAGTGCAGACACTTCCCCCGGGAGCCCTGTTTGGGGGGGAGGTGCTGATGCTCTGGGGCTACAATTCTCCACAAGTGTCCTTTGGAAGCCATGGGTGCTTCCTACAGTGAATGACAGGTGAGCTTCCTTGTATCCTGGTCCCTCCCAACTCTCAGAGCCTGTGACTCAGTTTCTCCAGAAGGCCACCAGAATGATGGGATTGAGGAGTGTTCCATCAAACCACCTCTCCTCTCTGTAGACTGCTGAGGCCAAGATATGGCCTTTTTAGGTTGCCTCTGCTCAGTGGCCTTCCTGGGCCGGGAGTGCACCTACTGAGACGGGGTTGCAGTGGCTCTGGAGCCCCTAGAATGAACCTGCCCAAATACCGGATGGGCAGATTGGGTTTCCTTAGCAGCCCCGTAATTCCCTCTGTCAGCCAGTGGACACACGTTTCTCACGGGATAGCACTGGGCTTCTCACTCCTGTGGAGCTTACAGCGGAGGGGAAATTATCCAAGAAGACCACTTGAGATGGTGACACATTTTCTAAAGAAAATCACAACAGGGTGAAGGGATCAAGAGGTCTTTCTGGGCCCCTTCGGTCCCTGGGCCCGGGGACCTCCCCCACAGAGGTGGTGCTGCCCTCGGCTCTGGGCCAGTCTGCGGCTGTAGCTGGGGCTTCACAAAGTCGGTGCCATCAACAGCAAACAGCAGAGAGCTGGAGGTCAGCTGTTTTACTCTCCATTTTCTTTCTACTTGATCTCCAACTGCGTGAACTCTATCCTCACTCCTCCCGTGTCTTGGTGCTTTCAGGGCAGCCCGATCCCGGAAGGGCTTGGTCTAAATGCTGGGAATGATCCCGGGGCCGAGGAAACAAATGTCTTTGCAGCTCGCCTTTCTTCTTTCCCACGTGGTGCCTGCATCCCCCGTCTCACACTGAGTCTGGGCTTCCTGAGTCACCATGGCCCCCAGAGCCCCCAAGGAGGGCCCAGCTTCCAAAGCCTCTTTGGCAAGATTTGAGGGCCAAGCATCTGCCTGGCCCCCGTCCAGGGCCGGCCTGAAGGTGTGGCCTGGGGAAGAGATGCAATAAGGTAGGGGATGCTAATGGGAAGTGAGCTAGT